CTTTATTTAAGCCCCAATATCGAACAATGTGTACGATATTAACTATGCAGAGGGGAGGGGGAGAGGAGTGTAGTTTGTGGAGCCGCCATTAGCAAAATATGTCTGCCCTGACCCTTCCACTGTTCCGGCACCAATGGCAACGCTGTCTTTCTTTCTTTTAATTTAAATTGGGACACTTGAGTCGGGATGCGTATTGTTTTTTTTATCTCAGTTTAGTAAATATCTTATTTCTATATGTCTAGTCTTGTCTGTGTTTTTCTGCTTGTCGTACTCTTTTCATCCCGAAAAGTGTATGACTAGATCCTAACGGCTCTTAAAAAGCATAAGACGAGATCTACAATCCTCGTATTGTAGCTAGCATTCCAGTCCCATGCTTTAATCTTTTTTTCGAAGTTTTTTGTGTTTAGATTTCTTAATTGCTAAGGTTCACACATTTCGTCGAGTCTCATTACGATGATGGATATAAGAAGAAGAAAAAAAGAAATATCGGAATGAGAGTTTTTGCTCTGTGAAGCACGTCAAGGTAGATCTGATGAGGTCATTTATGACAAAAGTTCACGGGCATCATTTCTTGCTTTGTAATCTCATCTTGGAGCGAGTAGATAAAAAAATTATTAGCCTTTCCACTCTGTAAATGTGGATGACCAGCGAAGCTGTTTAGCGCACGGAACAGACGTGATACAGGAGCTTGAACAAAGGTACGAACACATTTATGCCGTACGATCTTCATCGGTGGTGTTTTCCGCCCGCCACCACCGCTTACAGACGCGTAGACGCGCGCGACGGGACCGCCACCCCGGGAGCGCGGAAGGAAACTAGGCACGCAAGCGCTTGAAACTATTATTATAATGCAATTAAATGCAAAGGTGCAAGCTTTGCATTTAATTGCAAATTATTCAAAAAAATAATAACTTTAAAATTGCAAGCTTCACCCTTGTTGGTGTTCGACTGGTGGCAGCTGATAAAACCCGTTTGCTCTACTGACGTCTAACCCCTGGTTAGCTCAGTTGGTAGAGCGCTCCACTTGTAATGGAGAGGTCCCGGGTTCGAGACCCGGACCAGGTGGATTTTTTCGGTCGCTCACCGGTCACCTAGCTGTGTTTGGAGATTTATGTTTGTCCTTTGTCCCTCTCGTTCCCCTTCTCCAGGGATTACTTTCGTCATCGCTTGAAACGACGACAAAGAGAGGGCGCTGCGAGTTTTTGTTGACGCACATGAAAACTCCACGGAACCCTAGCCATGTACAGCTTCGCTGTGTAAAGATTAGAAAACGGTACAGCACACGTAGGTACGTACGTACGGTTTGCTTTGAGTTAATCATCATTTATTATGAACGGAGCTAATGAAATGCTGTAATTCTGATTGAACCTCCGTAATGTACTTCAGAAACGTCAAATACGTCTGCCGAATAAACCTTATTACATATATCTTGACGACTTCCTTGTGACGATCCATGAGTTTCAGGGCACATTTCATGCTTGGACTTTAAACATATAAGGTCATTCTTATGCAGTAGTCAGTGCCAGGGTCTAATACTTCATTTTCTTCTTTCATAAATTATTTTAGATGTTGGTACATTCCTTGCAGTGCAATACCTCCACGCTAATTTTACACCCGCAGTAAGGATATCACAATGTCCACAGAACAAAGTGAGTTTGTAGTTTCTACATTTTTTTCAGTAATTAATCTTTTCGCTTCAGTTAACGCAACACTGACATGAGCAAGTACTTGACCCTGGCATCCGATAACACACTGCCTTGAGAACAACGTAATGCCCATTGATCCACCACGCACTACACGAGAACCAGAAGCAATATGCTGGAAAGTTTCATTTCCTTGAATTGGTCTAAAAGGCAGTAACTAATTTATTTTTTTGAACAACTCCAACTGAATAACAATTATAGTTTGTCTAGCTTTCTTTCCAGGTCGGACACTTCTAGATTCTTTGTGTTTTTCACCAACAGAAATATCCGCGAAGTAGTGTCTAGGCCCCCACCAGGAATTTCTTAATCAAAGTCAGTGAGCACATAATGCTCGGAAACAGCTCTAAATTAGGGACCAATTTGAGATCAACTCGCTGGCATAGGGCAGAGAAAGTAGCTCACTCATGCGTGCGAATTAATTCTTGCAGAGTATATCAGTATTTCTCATCGCAGCAGTGCCTTGAGGGGATCAGGATTACCTCAGCAAATCCACGTTGAGATGATTCTCAGAGCAAAAAGATTCGTTTTAATCGAAGGAAACAGCACGAAAACAGACGACGAGGACGTAGAAGAAACAGACGGCACGAGCGCTGACTATCAACTGAAATATTTTATTAGAAAGACATACGAAAACGGCCATTCATCTGTGGTAGTAAGATCCCCGCCTGCGTATCACGTGACAATTCATAACAGCGTAATGGCACGTGATAAACGCGATAAAAAGCGATATGACGCTAGCCCAAATCCAAAAACTCTACCTAACGATCTAGCAGTGCCGAAGACGGTTGGCTGACACAGGAGGCTCCCGTCTTTTTTATTTGGTATGCTTCGACTATCTTTCTAGACACTTGGTCCCTGTGCTTGAACAAAACTTTGGTGTCACTCAATCTTGGCTCACAGTTACAGTCGCGGAAATGCAACGCAAGACGAGAGTACGGTGCTCTCTTAAACGGATGTTCAAACAGCGACCCGTTTGACCGATATACACACAACCGCATAAGAAAGGTATCTCATACCTTCTCCAACGGTGCATGATACGAACTGTATGCCATGTCTTACGGCTCAACTCTATTAGGATGTTTTCCTTACTAACACACCTTTCTAAAAAGGGGCATATCGGGCTCATTCAATTTGGATTTGGTCTATCGTCATATCGCTTTTTATAGCGGGACATCACGCTGTTATGAATAGTCCCGTGATACGCAGGCGGGGGGTCGTACTACCAAGAATGAATTATCGTTTTTGTAAGTTTTCCTATTTAAATATGTTTAGATATGTTGTCTTGGAATGTGAACGCAAAAGGAGACAAGGGACACACAAAAACACGTCAGACATGGACAGCGTTCAACTCGCAAGACGTTTATTACTTCCTCCGGCATGCAGCGCCGGCGTGATCTTGACCGCGCACCTGCTGGCTCAAGGTCACGCTCATGCCTCTCCCCCCCCCCCCCCCCCCCTCTCCCCAAACCGAGGTTTCCTATCTCAATCTCAAGAAGGAATAATCGTGTTGAGAGTTGAACGCTGTCCGTGTCTGACGTGTTTTTGTGTGCCCTTTGTTTCCTTTTGCGTTCGCACACCAAGATGTTTAACCAACACGCTCTCACGATTCTATCTATATCAAATATTTTAGTTGATAATCAGCGCTCGTCCCGTGTGTTTCTTCTACCTCCTTTTCGCGCTGTTTCCTACGATGAATTTCCACCAACTCGCCCAACTATCTATTCTTCTATTACAGCTGTCAAGGGCTAGTTTTCCCGGGATCGAGTCCGTCAGCAAATAAATGTTGAAATCTATAAGCGACGGCGGCAACCTTTCCAGCAATTCCTCCCTGGCTTGCCGACGTGCGGCCGGCCATTACTTCATTCCCACCATAGTACCACCTTCGCCAGTCTTCTTTCTGCACCAGAGTGGAAAGGCTGAAAGTGTTTCGTTTTAAGATATCTTATTTTTAAAGCTCAGCTCTTAAGCTCCCGTTTCCGGGTTGAGCGGCGTCGCCGTCGCCGTCGGCGTGACCGCGCGTTGTATTATGGGACGTTTCCCATAATGACGTGACACGTGACGTCACGTGTGACGTCCCGTGAATGAGTGTGACGTCACGTCAAATTTAGTGGATAATTTCCCCGCTAAACTTAGCGGGGCAATTTTCGCTAATTTTAGCGAGAAATTTAGCCTAATTTTTCTGCTTAATATGAGGCGAGCAGTAGAGGAAGAGGGGAGGGTACAGAGGGAGAGGAAGGGCATACCCTGATCTCCTCCTCCTTAATAGCTGCGCTCTAATTCGTCATAGCACAGAATAGTAAACGTCTTTCATTTTTATGTCAACCATCGTAAAGAGGCTCGACTAGATCTGTGAACGTCGACTATTGATAAAACTGGACACAGGAACTTCTAACGAAATCGGAGCAGGTAGCTCGATTGCATTTTATAGAGAATATGCTAGTTTTGTTTACTACATAGATACCAAGGTGCCTATAGTGACTATCAGACACCCAACAGTAAAAACCTGTATTATTCAACACTACGAATGCCCGTGTGTTTCTTTTTCCATGGAACACTTGGAGAGTCACTCGTTGTCATCTATATAGGAATTAGGCGAATGACAATAAAAATATTTACCTAGATTAACAAGAATAAATAAAAAAAAAACAATTATTCAATGATATTCTGATCATTACATTTCACACTGTCACTTCACTTCCACACCGCAAACGTAACTTCTGAGCTTTTCTTTCCCGTCTTGTTTTTCAAGAGGCTCACTTTCTAGATCGCGATGATTGTCAAGTACACGCGCGGGTACTTTTCTTTTTATAGCGAAGCTGCATTTGCCTCTGCACAAAAGATGCGCCCAAAAGGCTGTTTTTTTTTCTTTGTTTCTTAAAACCTATTAATGAGAAGGAATGAATGTCCACAAACGATGCCGCTTCTACCCTTTATAGTTACTGACAAGTCAAGAAACGTAGGCCGTGACATTACGTTCACGGTTCTTGCTTTGGGACTCGTAATTCGGTGTACTTATCAGTGACTAATGTAGCAATTATGTTTACTCTGGAACGAGAAGAGAAAGCTTGTAATTTGCCCCGTTCTGCGTTTCGTGTGCTCCCAGTGATCCTGCTCAATCCTGCGCTAAGCATGAAAAAAGAAAGCGACCACAAGGAGCCATAAAAACGTAGCGAAAAATAAAAACCGCAGAAGTGTGTATTTTACTAACAGTTCAAAATTTCTAGACATTTACACAAAAAGAAGGCAATCTGCAGGCTGCAGTATGACCATATAAAACCATTAATTGGCACATATAGCATGGTGATGTATAGGTATGCTCTGTAAAGTTTATACGTACCGTTGCACACACGGCTGGCTATAACATCGCAAGTGCTGTGGCATTGTCTGCTTCAAGCCAGGTGGACGACCATGCGGGGTTGTGATCAAAAACTGGAAGTGCAAGACCATCGCTCGCCTCCCCCCCTCCCTTCCCCCCCCCCCCCCCTTTTTATGTGCGATGTGCTCCAAGCCCACCAAATACGTGGTGCTGGGGGCACGGAAAATTCACCGCTCGCGTGTTATAACCAGCTCTGTCCCCGATAGCACTTGTAGCCGCCTAAACGTGCATTCCTTAATAAACTTTGCTCTTCAGGAAGAACACGCAAAAGAAAATACAACCGATCTGGATCAAGGCTCCACCCCCGCCCGTGGCGCTGCAAACGGATCCAGCCGCTGGAGTGAATTTGCTCAGCAAAGTAGAGGACAGCCGACCCACGAACCATGGCAGACTGGACAAGAAGGAAGCAATGGTGGCCCCGAACAAGGACGTCATCAAGACGGAAGAACTCTTGGGCCACGGCCGTTTCCAGTTCCACATCTTGGTATGTGCTCAGCTGTCCGCGGGTGTGCTCCTCTTCCACCACCTGTCCATCTACCTGTTGGCGCCCGAAGTGGACCACTGGTGCCGACCTCCGGGCGACCAGGCCAGCCTGACTCCGGACCAGTGGAAGAACATGAGCATCCCTTTCTATGAAGACGGCACCTACAGCAAGTGCACCATGTACGATCCCTTAGAGTTGAAGAGGGATAACAGTACGGAGGTCCCGTGCACGCAGTGGGACTTCGATTTGAGGCCCGGCATTGACACCATCGTGAGCGAGTGGAAATTGGTGTGCGGGAAGAAATGGGTAATCCGCGTCGTGTTCGTTTACTCGCTGCTGGGCGGGCTTATTTTCGTGCCGCTCCAGGGTCAGCTCGCGGACAAAGTTGGCAGGTGGCCCATCATATGCGTCAGTATCACGCTGTGCTTCCTTGCCGCCGCTATGGCAATATTTTCTGTGCAAGTGGCCACGTTTGCCATGGCTCGGATGTTCCTCACAGCATCTTTCAGCACACTTAAGATGGTCCTTGTCATTTTATTGTTTGAAAGTCTCGGAGATGACCGTCGAGTGGCTTACTGCTGCTTCGTTGAGATGGGCTCCGTTGTGGGAAGTCTAGCCGCTAAAGTTCTCGAGAACTTCCAATTAGACTGGAAGATAGTGTGTATGATAACGGTAGCCCCTACAGTTGTACTTATGGCTGTCTTTTACACGGCGGAGGAGTCTATTCGTTGGTTGTTGAGCGTTTTAGACATAGAAAGAGTGGAGAAAGTCACCATTAGGGTTTCCAGAATCAACAATGCTGATATCGACATCGATGCCATTATCGGGCGCTTGATCAAATCTGACGCATTGTATTCTGGGAGATCCTCGATTGCCCTCTGCGAGCTTCTGACAATACCAATCCTTCGATTTCGCACGCTCGTGCTTTCGTGGATATGGTTCAGCTTGCTCCTCTCTTTCTACAGCTTGGACATGCTAGGCGAGAGAAGCACGGGAATCCGACTTAATCTGCTTGAATCCCTTCCTCACCTTGTCAGTGTATTTACTTCCATCATTCTTCTGAGCGACTATTCGCGCAAAGCTGCACTTTCGCTGGCGCTTCCCATCAGCTGCGGCCTGATCTGTGTGCTGGCAGTGTCAGTTACCATCGCGCAACATGACCTAGCCTGGGTCCTAATAAGGGTCACCTTCTCTTCGATCTCCACTGACTTCATGCTTGTACATTTCTACAGTCTGGAGCTCTATCCGACCAGAATTCGGGGCACCGGAATTGGTGCTCTTTACTTCTGCGGAAAGATTGGTGCTTCGTTGTCGCCGCTTTTGGTGGAACTGTCAGATCGAACGCACCCGACCGCGCCCATCTTAGTAGTACTCGCCATCACGACACTGTCGTTGCTCCTGGTTAGGTTCTTGCCGGAAACAAGGCACCACATGTTGCCTGACATACTCGAAGACTTAACACAAAAGAAAGTTATGAATCCTGAAAATTCCGAATGTGCCAAATAGGTGCCCTAAACTCTGCAAGGCGAGGCATTGTTTACGGTCTTCAATACGGTTGCTGAAAATATTTCCTGAATAGCTACTTTTTATTTACCAAATTTAGGCGTACAATTATAACTACTCCAGGATACATTTATTTATCGTGCAGTTGCAGTAATTTTGAGTTTTCTATTCGCATTTTCACTAACCTAGATTTTCTACAATTACTTTTTGTTAAAGGTGGTGTTTATTATTACATTTCATGGACCGATTTCTTAGTCTCTATTTTCATAAACATATGCGTTAATAGATCTGAATCACAAGTATCTGGATATATTTTTTGGGAAAATAAATTTCGCCCAACAACAGTTACAAACGCAGAGTGGCATGCTATAAACTCACTGAATACCTCGACGTGCAATCTGCTGATGCCATGCTCGGCATCTTTCATTGACCACTGAATTCCGTTCTATTTTGTAAGCATTTCTTATCCTGCCATTCAGTGTGGCCCTGGTAGCGCTTTGTCCACAGTTCTCATCCTCGAGCGTTCTTATCGGAGGCGATAGTTTTCCATCCTGCCCGCGTCTTGCGGATAGAGGAACTGAACTATCAGCACTGAACGCTTGGTTCTATGTATTCATCACGTGACGATTTATAACACTAAAACCACGTCACCCCTTAATCCGCTGATTTCAAAAGACAAAACACCTGCGGTTTTATAAGTGCATCTCATTATCCAGGCTGGATAAACACCTCTTCCCAGGTATTGCAATTCCGTGATCGAAGATTATGCTTCACCACACCCCGCCGGCTCATCTTGCAAGCACGGGTCATCAGATTGATGCAATGGTGTGTCTGAATTTCTCTTCAGAATATCACAGGTTTACGGGTTACGAGTCTTAGTGAGTGGATTTACGCTGGCACAGTTCCTGCCATAATTGTCATGTTATTTGTGTTTTTGGTAAACAGCGGTGGAAACGAACCACCTTTCTTGTCATTGTTAACTCTGCGTCGTTTGTGTTTCATTGTGCTTGTCTTTAACCTGTATTCCTCTCTGACGAAGAGCCTGCGGCATTCTCAGCTCACCATTCAGAGACGTGTGCTCCTAATGCATGTTTATAGTTTTCTTTGTACAATACTCACTAACGGAAACTCGGCCGAGCATTGTGTACCACCAGTTTACGGAGGAGTAGTCACTTTTGTCCGGAGAAACTGGCATAGGGCGTCCCAAAGGCGTAAACATGGCTTTCGTGAGCTACTTCGTCCGTCGGGCGCTTTCGTGATGCAATACAAAAGGAACTGTTATGCGAAACTTGGCCCGTTTCTTCCTCCACTTGCAAAAGGCGAGGACACCCCAGAAGAGTGAGAATACAGATTCGATGACTCCCAGCGTCAGCATTAGCACGTCGTATCTGCCGAGTGTGTCACGGACATATCCTGTGAAGCAGAAACAATTCACAGGATTAGTTGGTTACGTGGTGGACAAATATTTATCTTGACATAAAGTAGCTATATTAAAGCTTTTTTTTTCAGTTCAGTAGCATTCAAACCCACTTAACCATCGTGAGAATCTGTGAACTATAAACGCAAATATTTCCACCTACAGGGAGCGCTTTGTTCAACTCGGTTAAGCAGCTCTGTGTTTACTTCAACAACTATAATAATTGTTAACTTTCCAGTGACATAAATGAAGCATTATTTTGTATGGTGTGGGGCAAGAACAACATTAACGCTGGTATCTTTTGATTTTTCTTCAATTATTGAGATTAAAAAAAAAAAAAAAAAACATTTACCTTTGTTTTCCATGGCTCAGGTAAACCACTAGAAGAGTGGCTGCACAATCTCCCTATACACATCTCACACTGACGCGATGCAAGCTATAGATAGACCTTTCCGGAATATCCCAGTAGCCCTTACAACGAGGGGAACTGTTGGGCTGTTTGGATGTGCGCTCGCGCCGTTTCGAACGCTTCGTATGTATCGGCAGCGCCGGCACGATTCATTCTCTCTAATCATTAGGAGCTCAAAATATAAAGCGAACAAAAACGAAAAAAAGGTTATCGCATACTTGGTTTTGCTTTCCCTTTTTCCTATCTGGATTCTGAAATCGCGAACTGTTAAACCAACGTCAATTCCGTCTTCGCTTCTTGGACAATTTCAAGTTCCGTACATCTGAACGTCACAATGCGTAAAGCAGACGCTTGGGACACACCATATTTCCGAAAAGGTCTGTTATGTCCATGGTGAAAACTATTGAGCGCATTAAACAAATGAAAAACATGCATTAAAAGGACACTGACAGAATATAGAGGCTCACCAAGGTTTTTATTTGTACTTGACCCACGAGAGCCGAACTACCCAAAACAAAATTTTGGGCTCGAAATTCGTTTTCGTTCCGGCCGATAGCCGCCGATTGAGGACCGACCGCTTTGAGTCGCGCTCACTCTCTTCTCCGTGGTCACATGCCGTTTCTACTGGGTGATCTAAGAAGCGGCCAGGTTCTCTAAATCGAACGCAAAATTCGGTTTCTTAACATCTCGCGCTAAGACTTTGTGCAGAGCTGCCCACATATGGTGTTTTTTTGTTGTTTTTTTGTAAAATTTGCAAAGAGCGAACTTACCTGAGGAAAAAGTAAAGAAAGAAAAAGGCTTAGCTCATATGGAAACACAGCGAAGCTACCGGTCTTCAAACAATACGGCGCCGTTTCGCTCGGCAGACAAGAGATGGCGCAAGCGGTCACGACGCCAACGAAGTAGCATTCGACGCCAAGAGATTGGTCTTTAGCAGACGATGTTTTCGACTCAAAAGCGGCGCGCGTTCCGCATCGGCGACAGTCGCAGAACCAAAGACAGACGCGTTAGTGGAAAGGAACTGCAAAGCAGACGACATCAGTACCTTGAAAAAAACAGTCAAAATATCCCGAGAAAATATTTTTTAATCGATTGTGTGTCCATTCAATGTGTCTTATTAGTAAGGATGATAAAATAATGCATTGGCAACTGATATCAAAAAAGCTCGCGCCGCTTTTGAGTCGAAAAGATCATCTGCTAAGGATGCCGGCTCTCGGCGCCGCCTGCTTGTTCGTTGGCGGCAATTGGCGCCGCGACCGCTTGCGCCATCTCTTGTCTGCCCTGCGAAACGGCCCCGTATTGTTTAAAGAGTGGTGGCTTCGCTGCGTTTCCGTAGGAGCTAAGCCTTTTTCTTTCTTTACTTTTTCCCCAGGTAAGTTCGCTCTTTACAAATTTTATTAAAAAAAATGCACCATATGTGGGCAACGCTGCACAAAGTCTTCGCGCGATAGCTGAAAAAAGCGAATTTTGCGGTCGATTTAAAGAGCCTCGCCGCTCCTTGAATCCCTCAGTATATGGTTAGACAAACACACCAAATATAATCGAAGTCGTGGGTCACCGAAGGCACAAACTCATTATTCAAAATAAAAAATAAAAACAAAATATGATACTCATTTTTGTGGCTTCTAAAAATCTGCAAATACATTTACTGAAAAGGGGAAAAAGTTGCACAGAGAACCGGAAGATATATGTGCATCTTCTGCATAATTTTCAACATGGCGTCGTATCGCGGGAGAAGCGGGCGGACGGCTGAACGAAGCGGACTAAACGATGGCGGAGGACATCGGGCGTGAGACCTCTAATTCAGAACTGTTGTTCGCGGTACCGGCGAATTCCTCTGGCTTTGAAAGAGAAATCATTTACCGGTAAAAATAAATTAGTATTTATTCCGTGTGACAGGCCCGCCCACAAAGGTAATTTGCACGAAGACGTCGCCAAGTCGCCGCCTATTCACCTGGCCAAAGACATCGCTTGTCGTACGAACACGAATTGGTAAGAGCTTCAAAAGCGTGCAAACGTCAAGCGTGAAGTGCTTGACTTTGCGTTTTTCGTGCGACGTGCCCGTTTTTCGTCTGCTTCGCATCGCTGGAAAAACGAAGAAAAAAGAAAAAAAAACGCGGTCGGGTGAAGTCACGTGACTTCTGGCAACCCCCCCCCCCCCCCCCCCCCCCCCCCCCGTTTCGGTTTTGGTTTCAAGGAGTTGCTTTTTTTTAACTTTATAAAAAATAACGTGACGCTGTAGCAAAATATTGATTTGGTACTCTTCTAACACCATTATGAAGCGCCTGGAAAAAAAAATAAAACAATTTTTGGGAGTGTCATTGTCTTTCTGATTGGAGGTAAGGCGCGCTCGCCTATAGGTAGGTTGTCTTGAGGCGACAAGGGAAAGGGAATAATGTAAACTAGTGTTTGACTATCGGATAATTGATACGGAGTAATGGACCTTAGAGTCCCTGATGAATGCATATCACGGAGTCCAGAATTTACATTTTGTGCTGCGCCTCTCCTTTTAGGATGGGTCTAATCGTCAATGTCACCAAATAAAATGTAACGGAGCTAAATGTCGTTAGTTTTATAGGTCCTAAAATATGATCCCTTTTTTTTTCATTTATGTACCCAGAAATGTGAGTAACAGTAACCTAAAGACTCTACAACTAACTGCATCATGAAGTAGAACAGGATTATACAACCCCGAACATCTCTCGCAAGCGATAATTTTGACGAACCTGCCAGTGAACAGGCGCCTCCTCTGCTATTTGCTTGGAGTTCATGTGCCTCCAAGCAAAAGTCTCACTTTTCAATGTATTTTCTGCATATAACGTCGTCTCGAAGCGGCAAAAGCTCCGAGTGCGATTGGCGCGCGGGAAGTTGTGCTACCGACAATGGCTCTTTCACGATCCACCTGAGTCACGGAAGAGGCAGGAGGGTGTAGCACGACTTTTGTTCCGGGCACTAACCGTAGTCCGAGCAGCCCGAGCTTTCGCCGCTGTGTGACCTGGGCCCGCACGCGCGCACAACACTTTTTGAAGAAGGTCAATTCGCTCCCACGCTTCTTACGATGCGCAGACGTCCCGTCTCGGTGACTTGCAGTTGTAACTTAACGTAGAGTCGTAGACCAACGTTATCAAATGAGGGTTTTCGCGTAGATGTTTTCCGCCGCTCCGCAATTCTCTCCGC